TGAAATGCAATAAATGTTTGGTTTACGTTGAAGGTCATGGTAGACTGTAGACAAACTTTGTGTTTACATATACAAGTATATCTGTGTTCACTACTGAAAATTTTAAAATCTACGTATGGAAAGGAGATTAGCAAATGTAACTGAGTAGGGAAAGTCACCTTTGATTTCAGTCAAACCATGTCATCGCACCAAATTCAAAGCAATTACCTCTAGAGACGCCCAATTAGGCAGGAATCAAGCATGAACTATTATGTTTTTTTATCCATACATGAGAAATGAACACGCGTCGACCTTAACATTTAGCTTAAAACTAGATATTCCTCAAATATTCCCAGGGTGTTCCATGGAGCCATCGGCAACATCCCTCGTGTGGCCACAAACTTACCATCCCATTTCAAAATAAAACATCAAAGAATTACAAAGGGAGAGAGAAAAAAGTTAATTAGATCTGCAAAGAGAATGGAGAAATATTAATGACATTAATAAGTTTCAGATCTCTGATAAAACAACGGAATAAGAAAGTAAAAAAAAAAAAAATATATATATATATATATACACATAACAATGGCTATGATGACGATATGACCCAGGATGATGATGCTCATTATGAGATTAATTATACACAAAAGATATAAGCAGCAAAACATAACATAAAGAAAAAATATAATGATGAAAAGTCACGAGAACATAAAATCTGGAAAATGAGAATAATCTTAGACATAGAGAAATATGAGTGAAATTCAAAATAATATCAAAGCCTTATTCAAGAAAGCTACATTTAGCTTCTTTTCAGCAAGAGTTGTATAAACCTCAGATCAAAGCAAGGGTTGCTGTACCATTCCTCTGTCGATGAATGAAAGTGTGATGATTATGGCTGCGATGGCGCTATGGCGGCCACGGCAAGAATGGCAGTGAAAAAATACAAAGTGAAACTGAAAATTCCCATACATGTGCTCTGATAGAAAGTCATTGTGAAGGAAAAAAATATATCAACTTGAGTAACGTCCAAAAGTACTTTCCTAGCTACTAGCTATATCAAAATAATGAATAAAAAAAAAAAAAAAAAAAAAAAAAAAAAAAAAAAAAAAAAACAGGATATCAAGAGCAACAACAGAAATGCGACAAGGCACACAACACATACAAAACAATAATTTTATTTCTACATTACCGTCTTAAAAAAAGAAAAGAAAAAGAATAAAAATAAGTAAAAACTATGCCTTAGTACTGAACATTCCCGTTCTCGCAAACCATGTCTTTAAGCTTTTAATTTCTGGGACGCGGTACGCAGGACGGAGCAAGGGGAGAGGAGAGGGGAGAGGAGAAGGGAGAGGAGAGGGGAGAGGAGAAGGGAGAGGAGAGGGAGAGGAGAAGGGAGAGGAGAGGGAGAGGAGAGGGGAGAGGAGAAGGGAGAGGAGAGGGGAGAGGGAGGGAAAGGGGAGGGGAGAGGGGAGGGGAGGAGCTGAAGCGGAGTCGCAAATGAAAAGGTGAAGAGAAGGAAGGGAACAGGTATGATGAGCGAGAGCGACGGAGGCCCATAGAAAAGGGTCAGCCAGCGAGGGAGGGGAAGGCGAGGGGGTGGGGGGGGGGGAGGAAGGTCAGTGGGTCAGTATTGCACACGCAAATCCAGCGTTATAACCGGAGGTGAAATCACGCGAGGAATTCCGTTCTTATATTGATTTTCCGTCTCGTAATTCCTTCAGTGAATCTCGCTTGGCCGAGGGGAGAGAAAGAGGAGAAAAAAGAGAGAAAAAAAGAGAAAGAGGGAGAGAAAGAGGGGGAGATTAGAAAAAGAGGCGTGGTTTTCCATTTTTCTTGGGAATGCAAGGGAAAGGCACTTGTAACCAGTTTGGCCGACCGGGTATCTGGCAAATAACAAGGGGAGAGTGGGAGGCAGGCAGGGATGGAGGAGGGGGGTAGAGTGGAGGAGAGTGGAGAAAAGGTTGAGGTTGGAGTAGCAGAGGGAGAAAGGTGGGTAGGGGGAGATAGGGAGGGAGGAAGGGTGGAAGGAAGGGAGAAAGGGAGGTTGAGGCTGGGGTGGGTGGGAGGGAGGGAGGGAGGAAGGGAGGGAAGGAAGGAGGGAGGGAGGAGGGGGGTAAGTGGGATGGAAGAAAGAGGGGAGAGGCAAAGGGAAGGAGAGAGAGAGAGAGAGAGAGAGAGAGAGAGAGAGAGAGAGAGAGAGAGAGAGAGAGAGAGAGAGAGAGAGAGAGAGAGAGAGAGAGAGAGAGGGAAGAGAGAGAGAGAGAGAGAGAGATCGTCCCAAAAGGAGGCATGCAAGGGGCAGGATCGGCTCATGAGATCGGCCGCCCGCCACGACGAGGTGCGTGCTGCGCCGAGTCACGCTCCCGCCCGCCGTCAGAGGCACGGCGAGGCGGGCATTATTCTGCCGGAACTCAATCTCCTACTTGTTGCAATACCCTCGTATTATTTCTTGTCCCCGTGCAACGCTGCCCTCCCGAGATCTGAAGCCGCAGAGGCCTCTGAAGGGGAGGGGCGCTAGCGTGCGGTGGCGATGCCCTCGGGCGACGTGCACAAACGGTTGGCATGCAACGGGCCTTCATTTTCGTGGCGGAGAAAAGGGGATGACTAATGTAAAAAAAAAAAAAAGAGAGAGAGAGAAAGGAAAAGAAAAAAATAAAACGCTGAAGGTTCGAGAACAGGGAGGCAGGGGACGTGAAAAAACGATATTTTCTTGGCTCCGGAGCGTGAAGGATAACGCAGTAGAGAAGATAACAAACAAAACGATAAAAATAAACTCCACAAATGTATGAATGAAGTCTCGTTAGTGTTTATTACTTTCACTGTTTATCACTATAAACAATAAAAATAGTAATTTACAGTCGCTATAAGCTTTTCAGTTTCAATAATGCGTTTAACCGGTCTGCTTCGGGCAAGACTAACTCCGACGTTCCGTAGCGGAGAGTCCAAGCTCGAGGGCGGGGCTGGAAGACAGCAACGTAAGCAAAACCGTGAACTGTGCGCAAATAAAACTTAAACGGTGCGAAAAAAGGTGCAGCAGAACCGCCTGCGCCGCAGAGCTACGGCAGACGGCGCTGAAGGCGATGCCCTCCGGGAGAGGGCGGCCTACTCACCCTCTGGTTCAGAGACAACCCGGTGGAGATGCTGCGTCGCACCGCCGGCGTGGGCATCGGGGGCGAAGGACCCACGAAGGTCGAGCACTAAGCGACAACAAGAAAAGGCTTCACTCTAGGGGCTCCTTCCGCCGCGCTCGGGGCAGAGGCGCTGGGCGTAGGCGCTTGCCAGGCTTTTACTCCTCTGGCATCAAATACATACTAATTGCGTGTATATTTATCAGTAAATATGTCCATTTTATTTCCTTTTCATTCATTTAATTTTTAGCTATATTTCCCATTACCTGTATTGTATTCACCCTTAGTAATTAAAACAATAGTAATGGAGATATCAAACAATGTGTGCAAAGATTCAAGAGCGGTGCGGTCAATAATAATAATAATCTGTAACAAGCAGGAATCATAAATTTCCATTTTCTCCTTTTTCGTTCTCTCTCTCTCTCTCTCTCTCTCTCTCTCTCTCTCTCTCACACACACACACACACATACACACACACTTGCAACCCATACGAAAATAATAGTGTATTAATAATGATGATAATAATAATTATTATTATTACAATAAACGAGAATATTCATGATAATATTAATCAACAAAATAATTTATATAATCTTTAACTAAAATAAACTAGTGTAGTTGCAGTATTAGTCCCAAAAACAAAAGAAAAATACCTATCAAAATATTTCTTCTGTGCACTATAAACCGTCGCGTGAAAACTCTACGGTTCCAATATCATATTTCATTATTTTCCAAATCAAGTATAATAAACCTTTCGTGAACAACTACATTATCTAATTACAATTCTAATATATCAGTGAATTTCTCACAATATGCTTGTCTGTAATAATTCATACTAGTTACCTTTGTCGATGGGTCTGACGAAACAAGATTATATATAAAGAATAATATATATAAATGAAGTGACAAAAATCGCGAAATATTAAGCTTAATCATAATAGCATCCATTCTATGGTCTTGTAGTATGGTAGCTCTACACTACAAACTTCGCTCATAAAATGGTTTTAAGAGAGACGCATTCTGAAACGAGCATCAGATGCTGAAATAAAACATAATGTCAACACATCACACTCACACACACATATTCCAGCATACTCAAGCAACGGTGCTCCTATGCAACACATAGGGAAGAACAAGAAACAAGGTACATGATAATGAAGCAAAGGTGAGTACAGGTAGGTAAAGGTGTCGTCTTCTACACCTGGGTAAATAAGTCTGCAGCTGAAACATCTTTGAGTATCTTTTTTGATGACAGGGTAAATGCACGATAAATTAATATTTGCAATTGCGAATCTCCAATTTGTAAAGGTGATTATAGCTCGTGCGAGTAAAATTAGAACTTCTCAAAATAGTGACAAGACAAGCTGCCTTTTGAGCCGTTTTTTTCCGATCATCATAAATCATTTGAGTGAACATCATGCAACAGAAGATACATCAAGACCAGAAAGCATCAAAGAGCGATGGAAAGACATGTTTTGGAAATCAGGATCAAAATTACAACAGACTGGCTACGGAAGGATAAAGCGTGGCGGAGGGCCAGGGTCGACCTCTGTAATGACGCAACTGAAACGGTGCAGTTTTACGCTACATCAATGTTCCTCTCACTCTTGACCTACTGTACGTAAGCGCTCTCTCAACAGCTCCACGCTACAGTCAGACAGACAGAATTGCTCCTAATGACGAGCCAGCAAGAGGTAAGTGCCGTGGTTTAAGACAGTGCAGTGCCACTGAACTGCCACGGGGAAGTACAGCTCATAACAGGGACAAAGTACGAGACACGAGCCAGGCGGCGGTCCCGCGGGAAGCGGACGCCGCCGAGGCTGGACTTACCAGGCGCGCGACCTTAGCCTTGGTGATGTACGGCGCCCGTCCGCCATCACCTCCGTTACCAGATTCGCTCAGCCGGGCCTTGTCACAATAACTCCGCCGCTGAGGGCACGCCGGATTAACAAAGGCAATGCCACGTCCGGCGCCACCCAAGAAGCACCGAGGTCGTACAGGCGCGGAGATTGCAGCGGTGTACGACCCAGCACAGCACACGCGGGCACCACGGGCGAAGAGAGGTAACCATATGTTAGCAATCACTCGTGTGGTTTGGGATGAAGAGTGGGCATGAATGTGGTTGGTGTAGTCTGTTGTGGTTGCGGCGGTGGTGGGTGTTGGCGCAGCGGCAACCAGACCTGGTTGCCGCTGGCTGTACAAGTTGGCTGTTGTGAAGGATGACAAATGGTACAAGAGTACAAAGCATTCACTGTAATAAGCGATGCCTGACTATGGCAATGGGAGAATTACTGGCTGTGTTTCTAATTCTAAAATACGATTAGAGAGTTGTTTTAGCTGTTTATTTTTTATTTTGAGCATTAATAGTGTTGAGCGGTTGTGTTTAGTGTGATAAAAGCTGTTGTTAAAGCTGTGCAGAGAGTGAGTGTAGATGTTAAACCTCAAACTACAACCTAGGTTACCGTGCTGCGGGCGCGAGCGCAGCGGGGCTGGCTCACCAATGCACTCCGCTGCAGGAGCGCCTGCAACCTACGCGGACGTACAAGACACTGTACACCTAACTACACGACAATACTCGGCGGTCACTGGCACAACTCGGCCTCGAAGCCACTACTACTGAACTTCCCGGCACTACGGAGGCCGCGTGCTCGAGGGGCACTGTGGGAACACTAGGGCACAGGGCACGGGGCTCACCAGGTGCTTCACGGAGACGCCGGTGTACACGTTGGCTCTCGGCGTCACCACGTTGCCGCCGTTGTTGTTGTTGTTGTTGTTGTGGTTGTTGTTATGGTGGTTGTTGTTGTTGTTGTTGTTGAGGTGGGAGGGCTTGGAGCGGCGTCCCCCGAGGTCCACCATGGTGCCGGCCGCCCCCCGCTGCCCGCGTCGTCAGCCCACGCCCGCGCGGGCACCGGGGCAGAGGCCCCAGCGGGTGAAGGCGGAGGAGGGTGCGGGGGGATGGCGGAGAGGCGGCGGGAGGGAGCGCGCGGTCACCAGCAGGAGCACCAGCAGCACCAGCAGCAGCGGCAGGACCACCAGCGGGGGCAACGCCGTTGTGGTGCACGGGGTCACCGGTGCACCAGCAGACGCCACGCCAGGGGCACGCGGCCGGCACCAGCAACAGGAGCCGCGAAGACAGGACACGGCGGTCGCCAGCAGCAGACGAGGCGGCAGCGGAAGGCGATGGCGGCGGCGGCGGCGGCGGCAGAAGAGCGCCGGGAAGGAAGCGCGTCCAGGCGAGTGAGTGACCACCAGGACCCAGCCAGCACCGGCCCGGATATACACACGCACACAAACAGACACACACGCACATACACACACGCCGCACATCCGCGCACACCACACGCAGCCAAACACACACGCACACCACAGGTTCGCGCACGCGCCACAGCCCACATAAACATGCATGATGTGTTAATGGCACGCACATAGGGACACACACACACGCACACGTATGGATCCCACGACCACGGAGAAGTCCAGAGGAAAGCGCGGTCACGGGTCAGAGGGAGCAACAGAATACGCACACAGACACCCCATACATACACAGGCAAGCGAAAACATGTACACACATCCGCACGAGCGTTGCCAAGAAGCGTGAAAAGAGAAGAAAGAAAAAATCCAGTTAGTTAGAGGTCGGCGGCGGGCCTGCGACTTGCTCGGTGTTGCTTCACTTGTTTTGCATGTTATCTCAGCCTCTCACTACGGCGAAATACGCGTCCGGAAATACTGCAGGCTAAGGTATTGTGCTTCATATTCCACCTACTTTTCTAGGAGTGTGTGTTAATGGCTGTCCATTGCATCTGCACTACAGCATAAATCCATCAAAGGCTACCTTACCAACCTAATCTCACTTTCGGCCGAGCAGCATTTCGCGAGGCGCAGCGCTCTCTCAACATGTTCTGGTTTGCGTGTGTTTGTTCACGTTCAGACTGTGGATTCGTGGCATTAGCATCTCCTACTTAATCCCCAAGGAAAAGGGCTTGAGACTGTGCCTTGCCCTTCCTCCCTCTGGCCGCGCCCGCCCTTCCGACTGCATTGGCTCATCCCGAGATATATGGCCATGAGGTCCATCACAACATCGTTGCTAATCCAACCACATTCACCCCCCTGACCGACGCAAATCCACCGTCACAGTCCCTCCCCACCTCTTCATCCACCTGACGGCCACCACCCCTCCCTCCCTCCCCTCTCCCCCAACCAGGTCAGTGTCCCCGGGCTAAAGGATCTGCCCCACGTGGTCCCGAGGCGGCGCCCGTGGGAGGCCCGACGCCGCCCTCGGGGCCGAGGCTGTTCCCCGGCCAAGGGACGGCCATATAAGTCAGCCACATAAACAGCGCCGTAAACCGCGCGACGCTCGCCCACGGACGGGGGGCGCAGGGAGGGGGGAGGTAC